ACGGTGGAGGATTCGCTCGAACCGATCTCTGCTGAACAGGTTCTAGAAGCGGCGGCTTCTTTCAGCCCGACCACGGCTTTGGGTTGGGATGCGTTCAGCCCGCGGCTCCTGTTGCAGCTCCCTCGGCCGCTTGTTGAGGCCTTTGCGGCCATCCTCACTGCTTGGGAAAGGAATCCGAGGGTGGATCAGATGTGGCTAGTGCTGATCGTTTTTCTCGACAAGCCTTCGGGAGGAGTCCGACCGATAGGGCTGCTTCCCCTCTTTGCGAGGGTCTGGAGCAGAATTAGGCACAGGCTGTGCTCTGAGTGGGAGCGTCGCGCTGATGAGCGTTTCTTTTGGGGTATGAGCACCAGCACAGCCTGTGACAAGAGCGCTTGGGTCCACAACGCTCTTGCAGCCTATGCCCGTTCCCAGCCTGGCTGGGCCTCTTGCACGCTTTTCATAGATCTGCGCAAGTTCTATGAACACATCTCGCACCAGGAGTTGCGAGAAGCCGCCAAGCATGCAGGTTTTTCGGAAGCCCTCTTGAGGAGCTACTGTTCGATGTATCGTGCACCGCGTAGGGTCTCGTGGCAAGGCGCGGTCAGCAGAGTCCTCGTGCCGAACGGCACGGTAGTTGCAGGGTGCTCTGGGGCCACCACTCTTTCCCGCTTGCTCCTCTTAGCTTGTTTGCGGCGCGCGGCGTCGGCCAGCCCAGTCGTCTGGATAAAAAATGTAATCGACGATGTCTCGCTGCACGCGGTTGGAGGCAAGGAAGTAGTTCGCAGGGAGCTCGGGCAAGCGTTCCGCATGATAACGGCAGGCCTAAGAAAAAAGGGGCTGCCCATCGCCTGTAATAAGCTCGGCCTCCTCTCTTCCTCGGGGGAGGTGGCGGACGGGATCCTCCTCGATTGTGGCCTCCCAGAGTCGGTGCGCGCCCAGGTCCATCGGGACCTAGGAGGTGACGCGACCGACGGCAGCCGTAGGCGAGTAAGCACACATCACGATCGTTTCTGCGCCGCCCAAGCCAAGGTCGGCAAAATCGTGGCCCTCAGAAACGCTGGAGCCCCAGCGGGCTTTGTTTTTCGGGCTGGAGTTTCTGCCAAGGCTCTATGGGGAGCCAACATCCAAGGGCTCCCCGACGGCAAACTTAATCAACTAAGGGTAGCTGCGCTGCGCGCTGAAGGGCGGTTGCCTCGCGGCTGCTCCCTGGACTTAGCTTCCATGTGCGCGCGTGGCGGCTGGACCCGAGACCCATTGGTCTTGGTCACAGCCGATGCTCTGAAAACATATGTGCAGATCCTCAGAGACAATCGCCTGTCCCCCTCGGTGCTTCGATTTCTTTTTACCCAAGGGCAGGCCATTGCGTCAAAAGCCCGCCCATGGGCGCAGGTCAAGGACCCTGTGGCGGCTCTAATCCTCACTGCGGGGCGAGCAGGTCTGACTTTCACCGACCCCTGGACACTGTGCGAGGCCTCAGGGCAGGTTTGGTCCCTGGCCTCTGTCTCGCCTGCCTTCGTTGCTCGCCGTGCTCGCTTCGCTGCACGTCGCCTGTCTGATCACCGAGGCCTCAGCAAAATCAGCGGAGGCAAGGGTTGGTTAGGCGAATTTTTTTGGCGCCCCCTCAACGAGAGGCTGCACTGCAGACGGCAGCAAGACGACGATGACGGGGCGGAGTCGGGCACGGGTGGAGCTTGGGGGGTGCGGGAGCAGAGGACCTTGAGAGGCCTTGTTATGGGCTCGCACTGGTGCCAGCACAGGCTTCACCAGCACGACCCCCAGCTCGAGGCAGACTGCCTCATCTGTCACGGGGCCAGAGGCACCCTTTTTCACAGGCACTTCGAGTGCCCTGCCCGTGCAGCTTGGCGGCGAGACCATCTCCCGCCTGAGCTCCAGGCAGCGGCTGCTCGTCTTGCTCGCTGCCCAGTTGAACTGCAAGAGCGATTCGCCCGAGGCATCCTCCCTGACCCCTGTCAGCTGCTCGCGCGGAGGCCCTGGGACCCAGCGTGGGAGTTCAGGGCTGAAGGAGTGGGTGCGTGTTTGGCGGTGGATAACGCTCACGTCTTCTGTGACGGCTCGGGTCACGATGGAATGTTCCCCGCTTTGCGTTCGGCAGGCTGGGGAGTTGCCATTTATGACAGCGAGCGCCGCTGGATCACGGGCTGGTTTGGAGCCGTCCCGCCAGCCACTCTGCCTGACCAAGTCGCCCGAGATGGCGAAGATTTTGCAGTTTTCATGGCCACGAGTTTTTTAATTGGCACGTTCACGCTTTACTCTGACTGCAAAGGAACTCTCGAGTGCTGTCGCCATAGAAGCTGGGCCGAGAGTCCAGCCAACACACGTATGCATCTGTGGAAGGAGCTGTATGCTAAAAACGATTTGTCTGGGGCGAGCTGCTGCAAGGTCAAGGCCCATTCGAGCATGGATGACGTTCGGGAAGGTAAGATCAGCCTGTTTGAGAAAGAAAAAAAAAAAAAAAAAAAAAAAAAAAAAAAAAAAAAAAAAAAAAAAAAAAAAAAAAAAAAAAACGGGCAACGACGCCGCCGACCGTTTGGCCAAGCAAGGCGCCGATCTCAGCAGGCAAGACCCTCAGGATATGCTAGTGGTCAAAGGCATGCTGTTTATGGCCCGTCAGGTCACCTCTTTCATTGCCAGGGCCGAGGTTCATTATTCCGACCTAGGCGTGTTTGATAATGTGGGCGCCCAGGGGCTCACCCTCATTTCGCTCGAGGGCGGCGAAGGCCTGGAGGAGGACCTGGAGGAGCTCAGGAGGAGGGAGGCGGCGGAGGGACGATCTGCTGCTGCTGCTGCTCCCCCTCCTGCCCCAGCGGACCCCTCCCAGGACCTGCCTGAGGTGCCCCTGGGCCCCGACCTGGCCGTCCTGGCCAGGGATGCTCACCAGGCCCCCTGGAAGCAGGGCGGCCACCAGCTGTTGGAGTTCCCGCTGCACGGTGAGGATCTCGCTCCAATATTTTTTTGCTCCACGTGTGGAGGGTATGCGACGGTCTCGGTCGGAGCTAGAGGCCTCAAGTCGGTCTGCCCTGGGGCCCAAGCGAGTCTGATAGACCCTGGCCGCAAAAACACCCGCGCTGTTTTAAGGTCGAAACATCCCAATCGCGCCTTTAAGCTTGGCCCCTGGAAGTCGCCTGGGGAGCGGGCTCGGGAGGTCTTTGGGGGTTTGGACGGCGGCCCAGGGGTCCAGCGAAAGGGCCAGCGAAGTGCGGTGGTCCCTGGATTTGTACCTGACCCCATCTGCTCGGCAGACTGTCTGCAGGCGTTCGGTTTGAATGAAACTGAAGCCCGAGTGCTTGGGGCCAGGCTGCGGGAAAAGCAAAGGGTTGCCGCAGACTTGGCGTTTGAAGACGGCTAGCTGTTGTTGCCCTGGGGGGCCTTGTCGCTGGCCCCTGACAGGTCTTTGGCCTTCCTGTCAGGGTGACAAAAAGGTCCACTCCGATGGGCCCCCCTCGGGCGTTTTGTTTCAGCTGACTGTCGGATTTTTTCTCTTCCCCCCCCCCCCTCGGTGGCGTGCGATCCTCCTCCTCCTCCTCCTCCTCCTCCTCCTCCTCCTCCTCCTCCTCCTCCTCCTCCTCCTCCTCCTCCCTCTCTTCTCCCCCTCCTCCTCCTCCTCCTTCTCTCTCCCGCCTCCCCTCCTCCTCCTCCTCCTCCTCCCTCCTCCTCCTCCCTCCTCCTTTTTTTCACCTCTTTTTCCTTCCTCCTACCTCCTCCCTCCCTCCTCCTCCTTCTCCTCCTCCTCCTCCTCCTCCTCCTCCTCCCGTTTCCCCAGCTTCTCCTTTCAAGGCAAGATCCCCAACTCGTGAGATGAGCGGACATCAGGCGCGGCCTATCCGGGGCGCTGCTGATGCCATTTTCGGCCACGAAGCAAGGGCTCCCACGAGGGCGCGAAGTCATTCGCGCTTCGCGCTTCGCAGTCCTCGTTCCCTCTCCCCCTCCTCCTCGTCCTCCCTTTCTCCCTTTCCGGGGGCGGCGCGAGAGAGCGCGAAGTTCTTCGCGCTTCGCGCCTCGCGCAGCGCGAAGCGCGAAGTTGGGAGCCCTAGATGAAGGAAGCTGGTCCTGAGGGAAGCGGGTCCTCAGGTCCTGCTCCGCTTTCAGCTCCCCGGGGCCCTCTCCACGACGTTCCCAGGGACCGTCCAGGAAGTACTCAGGATAGGATGGCGCCTTCATCCCCTGGGGAGGCCCTCGGGTCCACAGGGTGCCCGGTTCCCTCGGGATCCGCTGCCTCCATGATGAGCCCCTTGTAGTCCAGGGCTGGACGTTGGGCAGCAGATGCAGGGGGGCGCGCCCCCGCCCCCCCCCGCCCTGCATGCCCTGGGAGAGAGGCCCCAGCACTCACCCCCACTCCTCCTCCTCCTCCTCCTCCCTCCTCCTCCTCCTCCTCCTCCTCCTCCTCCTCCTCCTCCTCCTCCTCCTCCTCCTCCAGGGCTGACCGAGGCTCGGCTGCTCTTCAAACTGGCACGCTGGATCGGCGGATTTGGCCCGTCCTGGGAGGCTATGGGCCGCCTGGGCTCCCCTGCCGAGGTGCCGGGGCCGCCTGCCGCACACGCGCTTCGCCTCCTTCCGCCGCCCTGCCTCCCTGCCAGGCCCCTCCTCGCCTCCTCGCCCCTCCTGGAGATGGGGATCGGATGGGGGGGCATGAGGAGGCGGGAAGGGGGAGGAAGGGGGTCGAACGGGGAGGGGGCTGGAGGGACTCAAGGTGTCGGAGGGGGAGGGGAGGGCCCCCCCCGTTCCCTCGGATCCCTGCCCGTCACCCCGTAAGGATTTTTTCGGAGTATTCAGAAATCCTTAGGTAGTCCGAAATCCAGAGGAACGACAAGTGGCCCGTAGGATGTCCTCGAAATTCGAGCGAACCTGGGGAAGCCACAGGGTTCCTGATAGTCCTCAGGGATCGTGCGAAGTCTCAAGAGGAGGAAGTCGCAGCAACCCTGCACAATCTCGGAGAGAACTCTCACGAATGACACAACGAATCCTCGCTCCCATCCCGGAACCGCGCTGCGAGTGCCCAGGACCGCCTGGCCATGCTCCAGGAGGTCTCGCAGAGGACCGGCGAGCGCGCCCCCTCGCGAAACTCGGGGGGCGGGGGAGTCGTGGGGCTCAGGCAGGCCGTCCTCCGTCGTCGTCGTCGTCGTCGTCGTCGGCGGCGTCGTCGTCGTCGTCGTCGTCGTCGGAGGAGGAGGAGGAGGAGGAAGATGAGGGGGAAGAGGGGGGGAGGGGGAGGAGGAGGAGGACCAGTGGAACCCCCAGGCGTATCGTTCATGAGTGTTGCAGTAGACCTTCCCCCAAAGCTTCCTCTTCACAGGTCTCTACAATAATGTACTCTCATCACGGGATTGCTCCATTGAGAGACGACAGTCACTGCTCATGGGACTTAAACCCCGCGAATCCACTTGTCTGCTGCGTCCTCATACTCCCAGATCGTGCCATATACCGTTCCCATGGGGTCAACACCGGGAATTAAGGTGACCAGTGCGTCCTGACTACCGTAAACCGTACCTGAAGAAAATTCTTTGGACGTCCACCCCACGCGTCCTGGAATTAATCGAACCTTTGTCTGACGAATGCGTGCGGGCTAAAGCGAGGGCCACATGTTGGAAACGTACTGCCCTCCATACTGGAAGCCGCTCCACTCTTCTAAGACGAATATGCGCGGTGCTAGACCGAGAGCCACATGGTGAAAACGACCCGCATTCTATATTTGATGTTGTTGCACACTTGTGCGCAAGACGAGATCGCGCGGGGATTAGGCAAGATCCGCATTGTGAAAGAGACCCGCCCTCCATACTTCAAACTGTTGTAGATATGAAGTCATTCTGTTTTTTGTTGTAACCAAGAGGTCTCCGGCGAAACGCCCGGCCCACCATGCCGACACGTCGAGGGTTGCGACAGCGACAATTCATTCATAAGGAACATGTAAAAAGGAGGAGGAAGGAGGAGGCGGAGGAGGAGGTGGAGGAAGAGGAGGAGGAGGAAGGCCGCTTGCAGCCCCACCGGCCGCCCCGGGCGCCGCGCCCAGCCGCGCGCGCGCCCACGGGGGGGCCGGCTTCAGCGCGCCGCCGCAACGGCGGCTGCGCGCGCACGCCGCCACAAGGGCAACGGGCTGAGCTACGAGGACCACTGGCTGTTTTACGAGGATCACTGGCTGAGCTACGAGGACCACAGCTGCGAGGACAACAACCTGCCCTGCGGGAGCCAGTGGCAGAGCTAAATGGGACACCTGCTGAGCTACCAGAGGTTCCTACATACCTACAAGGGCCAGCAGCCCAATTACGAGGACCACAACACACAGGTTCAATGGCCGCAAGCACGGCCACGAGGACCTCCAACTGAGCTGCGACGACCACCAGCAGGCGCAGGGATTCAGCTTGAGTTGCGGGGGCAACCAGCTCCAGCTACGCGGGAAACTAGCTGGGCGTTTTGAACTGCGAGGGCCACGGGCTGAGCTTCGAGGTCGGCAAGCTTAGCTGCGACGACTTCACGCCGGGCTAATTACGAGGACCACCAGATGGACTAGGAGAGCCACCAGCAAGGTTACAAAGTCCACAAGCTGAGTTACCCCGGACACGAGCTGAGCAACAAGGGCCCCCCAGCAAAGCTACTTGCGCCACCAGCTGAACGACAAGATCCACGAGCGGAGCGTCCTCAGTCCCCGGCACAATACGGGGACCACTGGCCAAAATATGGGGGGCAACAAGTCCAGCTTCGAGGGCCTCGAGCGGGCCACGAGAGGACGAGGAATGTGAAGAGCAGGACGTGCCCATTTTCGTCATGTGCGCTGCGCTCCTCGGGCTGGACTTCCTGTGGGCTATCATCCCTGCAGGCCATGCAATGACAGAGGCCTTGGCCACCATGGCCATCTCGAAGTTCACGCACCTCGTGCACAACAATCCCGACGATGTGAAGGTGTCCGTAGACGTGAGTGGCGACCGCTGCTACAAGGACGGGGTCGCGATGGTTCACGCGTAGGGCTCCTCGGGAGCCATCGAAGCGCTCTTGCCTGCCGGCGACCACTACGAAGCGCACCAGAACAGGATACGTATCGGCCAGCGACTCATGCCCGTCGCCGCTGCAGAACTCCTGCGACTACGGGAGGAAGACGAGTGCGATAATAACGAGGACAACGAGATCGATATGGATCACGAGCGTAGCAACGGCACGTGCAACACTTACGCGCGTGAAGACTGGTGATCGCGTAGTACTGCGACCTTGCAATCGACGACTGACTGGGGAGTCATGGTGAGATTCGCCTGCCTGAGGCTGGGGAAGTTCACGTTTTACTACAACGCTACAGACAAGGGTACGAGGTGCACATACCACTTCTATAGCGCTACAAATTAGGTATCTCGTGCAGGACACGGGCACTACAAGTAAGACTCTATTGGCAGGATATCACGTACGTCTACATCAGGTACATCATGAGCGGCCCGGCTTGTCCTCCCCTTTTCACCTTCTTCTTGGGCCTGAGAGGCCTCCTCGCCCCTCTCCCCCGCTCCAGAAAAGAGTGGGCCCTCCCCGGGCCCAGCCGCGGGCGTCCGCAGCGGGCGCGGGGCGCGAATCCAGTTGGTGATGCGCCATCGCGATGCGAGAGAAGAGGAGGGGGAGGCGGAAGAGGAGGCGGAGGAGGAGGAGGAGCAGGAGGGGGAGGAGGAGGAGAAAGAACAACACATGAAACATACATACATACACATAATACGAATGCGAAGACGAATGGCAGTTATACGAATCAGGATAATAACGATACGACAACAGCGAATCATACGACTCATAATACTGTATTAACAATTAAACGAACCATAACAATAATAGCCCGTACCAAAACAAGTAATGTGTTAATGATATGAGTAATGCGACAAGCCATTGAATAACATGATTAATACCATCAACTGTAGGAACAAAAGGCACTACTAACATGATTCGGACGACTACTAATGATACGCCTTTTAACAACGTTAACAAGAATATTCACAGTAATCCTCAGCATACGAATGAGACTACTAGTAAACAGACGAAGAATAATGCATATGAATTAGACAACGGAACAGAACTATCACATCGTTCAGAAGAATGAAGGCTAATCCTGCTAACAAAGGGTAGGACACGTTTTAACAAGGGTTTGATGACGAATAAGAAGACGAGTACGATTAATACGACGAGTAATAGTCATAGTCAACCGAATCAGAAGCATATGCGTGTGCAATCTAAACACTAGTACTGATACTAAACCTCATCAGATTATTCGGAAGCAAAAGAATCATACGAAGAA